TTAAGGCGAGTCTATTCTAATTGTTGCTATTTTTACTGTTGATGTTTATTTCTTTGTTGTTTGCATACAACTTTTAATTATAATTAATTTCGATATGCAAAGGTTCCGCGTCTTTAATTTTGATTGACTATTCACTTTTATATTGTTTGATTTATTTTCAGGCGTCCAGTGTCAACGAGTCAGCATTATTAGCTAGCTACAAAGTCGCATATCGAGTTGCTAAAGCAGGGAAACCACATACAATTGCCGAAAATCTTATTTTGCCAGCAGCACTTGATATGGTTGAAATTATGGTCAGTAAGCAGGAAGCAAACAAATTAAAAAACATACCACTTTCTGACAATACTATTTCACGAAGAATAAACGATATGGCCAAGGATATTCAAGAACAAGTAGTCGAAAAATTAAAGAACAGCCAACATTTTGCTTTGCAGTTTGACGAATCTACAGATGTTTCCGACTGTGCACAGTTTGTCGTATTTGTGCGCTTTGCGGCAGATGACAGTATCACGGAAGAAATCTTATTTTGCAAAGCACTTCCTGCCAACACTACTGGCCAGTGTTTGTACGATATGTTTTTAGAAAGCACTTGCGACTACGATATTGATTGGAAAAAATGTATCGCTATTTGTAGCGATGGCGCTAAAGCTATGACTGGCAAAAATAGCGGACTCATTGCAAAATTAAAAACGATAATGCCAAACATATCCTGGACACACTGTTTTCTTCATCGACAGGCTCTAGCTGCTAAGGTAGTACCTTCTGATTTAAATGACGTGCTCAAGGAGACTATAAAAATTGTGAATTCTATCAAAGGTAAAGCTTTGCAAACCCGGCTATTCAGAATCGTTTGTGAAGATATGGGCTCGCTTCATCAAAATCTCCTTTATCACACAGAGGTCAGGTGGCTATCCAAAGGAAAGGTATTGACAAGAGTTCTGGAAATGAGAGCTGAATTGTTAATGTTCTTACAAGATGCAAAATCTGAACATGCTTATCGTTTTTCTGACCCTATTTGGCTCTTGAAATTAGCATTTTTGGCAGATCTTTTTAGCCACCTTAACAATTTGAACAAGAACCTTCAAGGCAGAGAAGAAAATATTATAACAGCTAAAGATAAAGTAAAAGCATTTCACGCAAAACTTCGTTTGTGGTCAACCTCTCTACAAAACAAAATGTTTGAGTCTTTTCCATGTGTTCAGAAGATTATTGAAGATAATGCAACAGACCAAAGTTTTGCAGTATCGGCTCACATTCCTTGCATGATACAGAGCTTGCATAATTTACAAGAGAAACTTTTGACATACTTTCCAGACTTGCACTCTGAAGCTGACAATGGACGTAGATGGATTTTAAACCCTTTTTTGGACAAATCAATAGACCAGGCTGATATCACCACAAAAATGAAAGAATGTCTTCTAGATTTAGCTGCTGATGGCATGCTTAAAATGGAATTTTATTCGCAAAGTGTCGACGTATTTTGGATGAAAAGAAAACACGAATATCCAGAGCTGGCAAGTGAAGCTCTTAAATTATTAGTGCCATTCGCCACTTCATACTTGTGTGAACTAACATTTTCTTCAATGGTAGACATTAAAACTAAAAAGAGAAATAGGCTGCAATTAGAAAATGATTTGATTATTAACGTTTCAAAAATAGTACCACAATTTGATAAACTTTTGAAAAATAAACAAGCACATCCTTCTCACTAAAATTGTGTTTTAGTTGTGTAAGAACCTCGACTTTTTCTTTCAGCTGGCGACCCCCCATTTAAGGCTTCGCGACCCCCCTAGGGGTCGCGACCCACAGATTGAAAAACACTGCTCTACACGATAGAAATCAAAACGAAGGAATATTGTGTAAAAAAAATTTTGGTCAAAAATTTTCAAGTGTTTTCAACAAGCGACTTACAGAGCTCATTTGCAGGCGAACGTGAAGTCCTAGACAAAAAGTGCTCAGATGAGTTTCGCTTTATTTTTAGGTGTACTAAGCGATGGAAAAAGAAAACTAGGCATTTTTAAAAATTTAATTTCAAAAGTCCCAAATCCCTTGCACACCCTTTGCTACACTCTGACCGAAATAAGTCCAATTTTTTTGATAATTTTTTAGGTAGTCCTGTAACATGTATAATTTTGATTCTTTTAATAAATAAAACTAAGTACTTAGTTTGCGCTATAATATGTCTTTAACCCTTTATGGGGCTCTGTCGATATGTTCGACACCATACTTTTTATTGATTTATTTTTAAACTGCTAAGAGTTTGGTACTGCGATAGTCTGTATTCGATTCGGACAGGTCATAGCAAAAACGAAACGCAACAAAGAAAAAAAAAGTATGGCTGACATTGACAGCTGATGACATCTCATGTCATTATTTGGCGGTTTTCTGAAGTGCAAATTTCATCTAAGAACATCTTCGCGAAAAATGAGTAAAAAGGTAAGTTTTCTTTTATGATTTGTTCTAAATATTATAAATATTGCAGCTAACTCAGTATTTCTGAAATTACTATGTTTTGACATACAAATTCAACGAAAAATTATGACGTCGATATATTCGACTCTGCCCGCCCAGGACTGGGCTGGTATAAATCCTAGTAGAAAGCCCTGGGCGGGCAGTGTCGAATGTAATTTTTTGTAAAGAATTCTTACAATTAAATTTATGTATAAATATTATATAGTATAATTTCATATTTGATTATTAAAGGTGATCCCATTAGAGAAGTTGGAAGATGCTCTCGCAGACTTATTTGCTCTGTCAGACGGCGAAAACTCCGAAGACGGCAATGAGAGTGATGAGGACGAGAATGAAGCAGTTTTCTCATCATTTACCAGTAAAGAACTTCAGGATATTTTATGTGGATCTGGTCTGAATGAATCACAGCCAACAACATCAACAGTTTCGATTCTTCCGTCATCTTCTAATATGGATATATCTATCACACATGATAGTATTGCAGGTAGTACTCAACCTACTCCCTCTAGTTCTCGAATGTCTTCAATCACAAGACCTGTTGCACCTGTGGTTACACAAGCTGATGACACGGATAACTCGGAAGACAGTTCAGAAGATAACTCGGAAGATGATGGCGATGAAGAGTGGAAAAAAGTGCAGTTTCCACACATTCCACCTACTGAGAAATTTGATGACATTTTACTGCGACCATCACAGTTTTTTCCTAATCGAAGTTCTCCTGGGGCATATTTCAATGTATTTTTCAATGATGAAGTCCTATTGAACATAGTTGATCAGACAAATTTATATGCAGCCCAAAACCGAAAGAAAGATTGGGATATTGTAACATTACAGGAACTAAAAGCTTTTTTTGGTATTTTGATACTTATGGGCATTCACGTACTTCCAAATATATCTCTCTACTGGTCTTCCGATCCTATGTTCCGTGTTGCAGAGATTGCTAATGTTATGACAGTAAAGAGATTTAAAAAGATATTGGCAAATTTACACCTAAACGACAACAGTCAAATGCCCAAGAGAGGTGAAGAAGGATATGATAAACTATACAAAATAAGACCTATGATCAACATTTTGAACAGTGCTTTCCAAAGTGGTGGAGTGTGCTCATCATCGCAAAGCATAGATGAGTGCATGATTAAATTCAAAGGGCGTAGCACTCTCAAGCAGTATATGCCAAAAAAGCCTGTAAAACGGGGCTTCAAAGTGTGGTCGCGCTGTGACAGTCTGACTGGATATTTATATCAATTTGAGATTTATACTGGAAAAAAAGATGACGCCACTACAGAGGTTGGATTAGGAGCCAGTGTGGTAAGAGAACTATCTAAAACTCTGATTGATGAAAAGGTTGAGAATACCCACATCGCTTTTGACGTTTTTTAAAAAAAAAAAACTTATAAAAAACCAAAAAAAAAGAAAGATGAACCTAAGCCGCCTCCTCTGGTACTGGCTAAAGGAGAGTAAAAATGGCGAGTCAACCAGAACGTCGCATTTTTTGTATGGAAAGATACTAAATTGGTGTATGTATTGAGTACTGCTTATCATCCCCATCAGAAAACAACATGTAGAAGAACGCAGAAGGATGGTTCGAAGTCTGACGTTTCGTGTCCCATAGGAATCCTGGAGTATACCAAAAGAATGGGAGGAGTTGATAGATTTGACCAGAAGAGAGGTACATACTCCATCTCAAGACGTAGTAAAAGATGGTGGATGAGAATATTTTACTTTTTGGTTGATTCTGCCATTACAAATGCCTATATAATATACACCCAAAATGACAGAGTTCACAACCCTATGACCTCCTTGCATTTACGCACCGTGCTTGCACGTAACCTGATAGACAACTTCAGCTCAAGGAAAAGGACTATAGCACAATCGCCCAACTTTATAACTAAAAAACCAAAAGGGCCAACAAGTAGACAGAAGGACATTCACGGAATACCTGATGAACTAAGGTTGAATGATGTGGGGTCTCACATGCCAATGGAGCTACCCAAATACAGAAGGTGCAGAGCATGCAGCAGCAAAAACCTCAACAAAACATCCAAAATACAGTGCACAAAATGTCAAGTTCCATTGTGCATTGTACCATGCTTTGCTCAGTTCGACACTGCCCTTCAGGGTTGAAGGGCAGTGTCGAATATGTCGACACCATTTTTAAAAAAAAAAAATCTAAAAATTAATAAAAAAAATATATTTCTCATATACAAGTGTTATTTTTTCATTCCCCCAGCCAGAAGCTTCTGCCCCTTAAAGGGTTAAATTATTATTTTTAACCAATTTATGTTATTTCGGCAGACATTTAAAACATAAAATGACTAAGGTGAAGTCACTAATGCTAGACATTGACCTAAAGGATGACACCTACGAAAAAAAATCCTTGTATTAAAAACAACTTTAGTAAAATGACTCTTACTACAACACCATAGCACACCTAGCACCATCTATGAATTGTTCTCAAAAACTCCCGACAGTTTCTGAACGAAATTTCAAAATGGCGTCAGTTGTTGCCAAACATGTGACGGAGTGAGCACGCGTTCCGCGATTTCCTAATTTTTAGTTTAAGGACGCCGAAATTATAAGGTGAGTTTTGAATCCATATTTGTTATAAAAATACTTTTTTTTTCATTTGTATACGTATTAATAATAACTTGGGTTAGTGATAAGCGCGCTTTTCTTCTGTTTGCTAATATTTTTCCGACAAATTGTAACATGTCTACTATTAGTTCCAAAAAAATTGAATATCTAATAGATGACAGACGTGTCATCCATTAGTGTTTCTACGTGTTAAACTCTTATGTACGGTTCGGTGCGTTTTTGAACTCTATTCTTAATGAAAATATTGCTGTAGAGATATTAATAATGTAGGATCACTGTAACTAAAGGTAGACATGGTGTCTATTATTGGGGTATACATGATGTCAATTATTGGTCCTATTGTTCCAGACTGATAACTATGCCGCCAATAAAAGGACAGATGTTTCGTTACTCTGAGGCTGATATGGAAGCCGCTATTCGAGAATGCAGACGAGGAGTTGCGACGTCAACTGCGGCAAAAAAATTTGGGGTACCTAGGGTAACTTTGCTGAATAAAGTAAAGGGTAAGACACCAATAAAACGAAAAATGGGTCGAGCATGCTACATCTCAGATGATACCGAAGCTTTACTCGTAAACTGGGCGAAAGCATTGGTAAAACGAGGCTTCCCAATTGGGAAAGAGAACTTACAGGACAGTGTAAAAAAAATTGTAGATGATTTGAATTTAGAAACTCCATTTAAAAATGGAAGGCCTGGCAAAAGGTGGTACAATAGTTTTTTGAAACGACACCCAGAGCTTATCCCTAGACAGCCTCAAAATTTAACATCATCCAGAGCTGCAGTCACAACGTCACAGTTAAAGAATTGGTATAAAGAAGTTAGCATGTATCTTCAAGAAAACAACCACACAAATATTTTGGCTGAACCTCATCGTATATTCAATATGGATGAGACTGCATTTTTTTTTAATCCGAAAGGGAACAAGGTACTAGCACCTAAAGGCGAAAAATCTGTATACCAACAAGTTAACTCGGACGAAAAAGAATGTTTCACAGTTCTTTTAGGTGGTAATGCTGCTGGTCAAGTTCTACCGCCAATGGTTATTTTTAAGTATTTAAGAATACCAAGAGAATTGAGCTTGTCAGTTCCTGCTACTTGGGGTATTGGACGGTCCGACAGTGGTTGGATGACGATGGAGACATTTTACGAATATATCTGCAATATATTTGATAAATGGTTGAATGACAATGGTATTCAAAAACCAGTCATACTATTTATGGATGGGCACACGTCACATATGTCATTCCACCTGAGCAAGTTTTGTTCAGAAAATGGGATAATCCTAATTGCTCTGTATCCTAATGCTACACATCTATTACAGCCCATGGATGTGGCTATTTTCAGGAGCTTAAAGGGCGCGTGGAGAACTGCTGTGAAGTCTTGGAGATTAGAGAACATCGATGCCCCCACCTTGAGGAAAGTACATTTCTGTCCTTTGCTCAATCAAGTACTGACAGAAACATTGACACCTGAGATGTTTATAAACGGATTCCGTAAATGTGGGCTCTCACCTTGGAATCCCAATGAAGTGTGCTCTGCACCAGAACAACCAACAGATGAATTCATGGCAATACAAAAAATGGCGAAAATTAAAGAACTGGAAATGGGCCTTAAATTCCTGGACAAATATATTGCTTCAGAAAAAATTGAAGAAAATATTGGGTTGTTTCAATTTTATAAAAAGATTGAAGACCTATTGACAAAAACTAAAGAAGACGTCTTGCCACCAACTGAAAACATCTCTACTTTGAATAATACCACATCAGAACAAGGCAGTAGAACTCCTTGTCAGGCAGTCCCGAGTAGCGATCCATTGACAATGCCATCCACATCACAAGCTGTAAATTTGGATTTTCAGTTCCAATATTTATCCCCAAATGAAGACCCTAAAACTCCCTGCAAAGAAGTACAAGAAAGCACTACTCAAAATCTCGAAGGCACAATAAACACAGGATCATTGATAGAACCACCTACATCAAGTCATTATAATATACACTAACAAAAACTAAAAATGTCTTACAAGCAACTGAAAATCTCTCTACCTTGAATAATTCTGCATCAGAACAAGGCAGTACAACTCGAATATTACCACAGCTTAATACAATCCCGAGTAGCGATCCATTGACTATGCCGTCCACATCACAAGCTGTAAATTTGGATTTTCAGTTCCAATATTTACCCCCAAATGAAGACCCTAAAACTCCGCTCAAAGAAGTCCAAGAAGGCACTACTCAAAGTCTCGAAAACACAATAAACACAGGATCGTTGATAGACCCACGAATATCAAGTAGGCCACAAGATAGATGTCCAAGGAAGAATGCAGATAATATGGTAATACCTAGTCCATTTAAAAGAGCATTGTTTTGGCCAACTCCTAAACAAAACTCAAAAGGAAGAAGGAAAGAAAAAGTGCCATCTGTTATATCATCTTTGGAATGGCAAAGATACCATGAAAACAAAGAGAAGAAAAAGACTGAATTAGAGAATGAGAGAAAAAGAAAAGCTGAGGAAAGGAAAAAAAGAAAAGAAGAGATTGAAAAAGCACGAAAGCTTAAGACTGAAAAGAAGTTACTCAAGAAACGTAAAAAAAATAAACGTAAAAAGACTGACTATAATAGCTCAACTACCGAAGATGAATGGGAAGAATCTGGAGACAGCGTGAATGATATTTCTGATGAAGTCACTGATGAGGAAAACGAAGAAGAAAGAAATGAGGAAGAAAAAAGCGAGGAAGAGAGAAGTGACGAAGAGAATAGAATTAGGCAAGGTGACTATGTTATTGTAAAATTTCCCGGCAAAAAGAAATATCACAAATATGTTTGTATTGTCCAAAAAGTAAATAAAGCAGACATTGAAGTTATGGCCATGGTAGCATGTGATAAGTCTAAAACAGTATTCAAAGAAAATGATAGGGATATCAGTGTTATAACTGAATCTCAAATAATTAAAGTCCTTGATGTACCAAATATTATTATAACTGGTGATAGAATTAAGTACAAATTTGATAGTGCCTTAGAGGTTGATGGATAAGTAATTATTATCTCTAAATTAAGTGTTTCAAGCACACTGATGCTCCAACTTCATTGATTTAATGTTTGAAATAGTTGACATAAGTCAACTATTAGTGCATTTGACTGTCTATTTAAGGTGATTTTCGTTTTTTGTGATGTTATCTATTAGTACTTAAGACAATATTAAAAAAAATATTAATAATAATTAAAGTATGTTAATTATTGGAAATTTTATTACTTAACACGTTGACGGACAGTACCGCCCCTAGGCGTCATGACCTAAAACGCAATATGACAGTACGTCGGTCGACGTTCACATTTTTATTTACGTAAAATCGGTACGTCATACGACGGTCGATTTTTCATACTATCATAAGGCACGGCATGTCAAACTGTCACCAAAGGTACAAATAAGATCGTCGTACTGGCACAATACATCATGATAAGCTCACTCAAAGAAAGTACCTCCACGCACACATACACATTTTTCTACTCCCCTCCACCCGCACACTACGTCCGCAGACGTCGCCATTGTATACGATGAGCCGAGCAGTGTCGCGTTACGGTGAACCGCGCGCGCGCCTACGTGTCGCTGCATGTTTTCGCGCGCAATATTTATTTAGAAGGCAAGTATTGTTTGTTTTCTACGTTTTGATGTTATTTTATGCTTGCAAAGTACTAATTCAAGCCTAGTGTCACATCTAAGCGACTTATTTACATTGCTTATGTATATTTGAAACCTATTTAGTTGTATCAAAATCATACGTTACATTTATTGCAGATGTCGTCTCGGGACTCGTATGAACGCGAACAAAAATTACTCCAGGACCTGTTTGATGCAGCGTCTACTCCTGAGTCAAGTCAAGAACCGTTTGCTGATGATGGGGAATATGGATCGGACTTGGACTATCAACCAACAGCCACAGATTTCAGTAGTTCTGAAGACGAAACTCAGACCACTCAAATAAAACACAGGCGACAGAAACAAGCTGCTATATCCTCTGGTGAGTCCGAATCTTCTTCGTCTAGTGATGATGATGACAAAACGTCATGTTCTGAACCCGAAGAACAGCGTGAGAACATTGAGGTTGCACAAAGTTTGGATTTATCTGTAGATCTAATACAAGAACCTGTCCCATTGATAACAGGTGTGCCTATGGTTGACGAACAAGATTCTTATGTGTCGCGAGATGTTTCTTTTGAGCCAAACCCTATCAATGTGACTACTAGGAGGTCAAACACGCCTGTTATAGAGGAGTCCTGGTGTCAGACGGTTACTGAAATACCCAATTTTAATTTTGATCATTCTCAATGTGGTATAACCGTTGACGTTGATGGGATGAATAGTGTAATCGACTTTTTTCACCTCGTATTCCCTCAAAACTTTATAGAATATCTGGTAAATTGTACCAACAATTATGGAAACGCTCTATGTAACACTAGTAGACCCCATACCAGACATAGCCGCAAAACTGTATACCGAGAAACCAACTGCGAGGAAATGATGAAATTTCTAGGACTTACCCTTCTTCAAGCTCACGTTAGATGTCCTAAACAAAGAAATGTGTTTTCGTTGTCCAATCCATTATATTATCACCCAATTTTTAGCTACATATTATCTGGACGCAGGTATGAACAAATTTTGCGATGTATCTGTGCATCAGAATTAGATGCAAAGGGTGAAAATAAGATCGTGAAGTTCATTGATATGTTGACAGTAAACTTTCGTAAAATTTACAACGCTGGTGAAGAGCTATCTCTAGATGAGTCGTTACTTCTATTTCGGGGTCGTTTACACTTCCGTCAATACATCAAGTCAAAAAAAGCCCGCTATGGGATAAAATTCTTTGAACTCACAACTTCTGATGGCTATGTATTAAATGTAAAAATGTACTCTGGTAAAGAAACCACTGAACAGGACATGGGTGAGTCTAAATCTAAGACTGAAAAAGTTGTCATGAGACTGATGCGTCCATATTTATTACGCGGGCATCATCTATTCATGGACAATTATTATAACTCTGTAAATCTTTCACAAAAATTGATAGATTTAAAAACTCATTGCACCGGCACCTTGCGGTCAGATCGTAAAGGAAATCCTATAAACATCACAAAGAAGAAGTTGAAAACAGGTGAGCACATATGGGCACGCAAGAACAAGGTGTATGTGTCAAAGTGGAAGGATAAACGGCCTGTCCTAATGATTACCACTAACATCCATCCTTCGATAGTGGAAGTGCGGAACCGATTTGGCAAGACAAGGTTGAAACCGGCAGAAGTTGAACTTTATAACAGACACATGTCTGGAGTCGATCGTTCTGATCAAATGGTATCCTACTACTCATGTCCCCGGAAAACCATTAGATGGTATAAAAAAGTGCTATTTCACTTTTTGGATATTGGAGTGTGGAATGCATATTTCCTTTTCAAAAAATATAAGAAAAACAATGCTTCCACATACCATTACGTAAACTACCGTGAAGAATTAATCAAAATAATGATTGGTATCGGTGATCGCAATCTAAAAGGAGTAAACATCGTCAATACAAGCAGCATTTATGATAACAGGCGATTTCGACCCAGTACATCGACTGCATTTCAGCCCACGAAAGCCACTGAATCCGAAAATATTATGAGTGGTCACTGGCCGGAGCAAGTACCATCTAGACCTGGAACTAAAAAGAAGTTTGCCTTCCTGAAGTGCTAAGTCTGTAATAAAAAAAATATTAGAAAAGAGACAAGCTATCGTTGCAAAGGGTGCATAGATAAACCTCCTCTATGCCCCTCTTGTTTCGAAGAATACCACAAGAATTTAGCAAATATTGATTAGTAACATCTTTGTTTTTCAGATATAAGATAACTGATTGTGATGATTCAATACGATTTATGACTGATTAGAAATTATGGTACTTATTGTTAATTTTTGAGAAGAATTATTTTGAGTTAGTTTATTTTTATAAAGTGATTTAGATTTTATGACTCATTGTGATAATTCATGCCTTTTCACGATTTATGACTGATTATAGTATAGTTGTATTGTTAATTTCATTTCATTTTCATTGAAAAGATCTTATGTTTTATAACTGGTAGCGATAGTGCCACTTAATTATAAGTATATGTGATTGTGTTGATCTCATAATAAATTTCAATATTTACTGATTACAGCATTTTTTTCTTTATCCATCTCATACAACACTGACGCCTGAGGGCGTAAGTGCACAGTGCATAGTAATCTACGATAAAATATGACACTACGGATATAGGCGTATACGTCCGAGGATGTACTGTCATACACTTAGATAAAGTAATGTCATATGTGACAGAACGCCTTATGACGTATACGGCTATATCCGTTCTGTCATATTTTAACAACGCGATATGACGCTACGCCTCTGGGCAATGTATGAAAATGAGTACTGTCTTAGCAGCTAAAACTAGTCCGATGGTACTGTCCGTCAACGTGTTAAGATAATTTTCAAAGATACACTGCATTCATATAAAAAAAACTGTAATTGTTTTGTTTAATAAATATATAACTACTTTCATATAAACTTTGCGTTTTCATTAAAATGTCGAGCATTAGTGACTTTACCTTAGTATCTCAAATGTCACTTTTAGGATTTAGTGATTTCTTGAATTGGGCCACTCAATAGCAATATCAATGCGCAAGGCTTGTATAACATATCACAATAGAAAATAAGATGCAATAGAAACATTTCAAAATACAAATAAATAAATATGATACAAAATATCAGATACATATATGTATAACTCAACAAGACAACTAGAAATTTTGTGTGGAACATCACATACACAAAGCAACGGTCTATATGTGCTTATTGTTGAGAAGGCTCAACTGTGCCTGTAGCCACTGAAACTCTTAGTGATGGCGGAAAGTATCTAGAACATCCAAATTTTTTGATAAATTAAAAGCCACATGAATTTACAATATCTCTCATAAAAATGTTCCTAGAAATAATGTGAAACGAATCGACCAAAAACTACACAACATGACAATTTAGAAACAATATTTTCGAGAATGACGAACAAGTCCCTGACAGCAGACTACGGCCCACAACAGTAGAGAGACTATCCAACCCAACACATTTGATACCAAATCGTTTTTTATGCATCCACCATCAGACAAACATTTTGTTACGACGAAGAACTAATCGCTGTATCGCTAATAAATTTCAAGCTGGATTCAACGTCAGACAAAAACACTACATGACACAGATGTTTAACAAAAACATCCTTGTTTTACATCCTGGTGTACACGCGAACCTTCTCCACGTTTTGGGTGATGAGACTTGATATTTCAACAAGTCGTTGTGATTTCCATGGCGCTCTTCGGTAACGTTTGAATTGAATAACAGCACCCG